CTTACCATACACACAAAATTTGCAATTATGGGGCCTCTCCTGGTGGTGCAAGGGATTGGGTCTCTGCACTATGAAGCTATCCACAGCCACTGCAGCATGAGTTCAATTCCTGGCCAGGGAACTAACCCACATGGCAGCTTCTGCCAGAGATGCTTCTATTCTCCGCATGTGATGCAGAAGTGTCATTTCTTCTGCTCCTTCCCCTGCTGTTCGCACCTCTGTGACTGAACCCATCACCTACCGCTCCACACTGCCCGCCTCTTCTCTAGGCCTCCTTTCACTTTCCTGAGTCTCTCTGAGACTGACTGCAACGTTAAATAGAACCACATGGGGGCGCCAGAACCACACCGGTAAATTCCTGCTGCCGTTAGGAATCTGACCACTTTAAAATTCTCCACCAAAGTCAAAGATGACAATGGTCACTGTGGGTCTGGGACACTCGCTCAGGAAAGACCCAGCGATAAGAAACTGGCTCATGAACTCTGTCTGGGTCTTCCCTGAGCTACACTGGCCAAGGTGACCCTCTGTGCCAGTCACCTTCAAGGACCTGAGACAGGTAGAGATGGGCTTGCTGTATGACTTTGAGCAACCCTTGGCCCTTGTTCCTGGGTCTCTGTGCAGAGATGCAGTGGGGGTGGGGGATGGGCATCTGTCTGTCCACTACTTCCTGTCAACTCTGGTTTGGGAAGATGTTTCCTGTACTCAGCTTCCGCTCACCAGTTTGCCCCAGGCTGTGTTTCATGCTCAATGTTTGTTAAATTGACCTGAAACAGAAATTAAGCACGCTCCTCCACACTTCCTAGAATATGAAACAGGAGTTTAGAGATGACCACCAGAGCCGTTTTATCTTTCCCTTTAAGAGGTTCCTGGTAGCAGAACACTTGCACTGCCCTGCCCCCCCACCCCAACATTGTCACCAGGACATGCCAAGGCCTTGCCCTCCCTCAAACACAGCACCCACAGTGAGCCATGTGTCCGTGTGTGTGTGTGTGTGTGTTTAGGGACATGCTCTGAGGGACTTGTGTGGATTCTGGGTCACTGGAATATGGGAGGGGATGGAGGAGAGAACCAATGCCTGAATCCTGGGAAGTGTGGGAGACAGGGAACTGCAATGGGACAGAGAGCCACACCTTTAAAAGGAAGGGAGAGTTCCTTTGGGTCAAGGTGGGGTTCTGGGGACCATTTCAGAGCAGGCTGAGAGGTGTGCTAACTGCGGGGTTACCCAGTGGGTCCGCAGGTATCTGTGTATGGGGGAGGGACTTGGGCTGTAGACTCCCAGGTCCCTACCTGCCTCAGGCCACATACCTGTCCTCTGGATGATGGTGTGAGAGTGAACACTGGAGAAATAAGCCTATCAGGAACAGGAGGCCAGCATGTCTCGGTCTTCCAGGAGACCAAGGATTGCTTCCTGGAGGCCCAGCAGCCTTGCCATCTGTTCAAAGCAGGCTATGTTCTCCCTATCCCCCCCCCACCCCCATGGCTGTTCAGCTCTCTTGGCTCACATCACCCAGCCCTTCAAGGCCGAGGTTTCCTCAGGCTGCAGGCAGATTCACTTTCCCCTCATCTGGGCTTCCACAGCACCCTAGGCTCCACCATCCCCATCTCTGTGAAGTTTGTGTCTGTTTTTCCCCCATATTAGAAACTTCCTGAGGGCAGGAGCTGGGCTCCTTTTGCTGTTTCTGTATCCATCAGGCCTGAGGATCAACTGTCACTAAACAAATGTTTGCCGAACAAATTAATGTGTTCCCATTTAACGAGCTCATTAGGGCTTTATCTTTCTCTTAATTAGGAAGCAGGAAGTTTCCTTTTTGCCCTGTGACAATCTACCTTTGGGGATGATGGCAGAAACTCAGCCTCTGCAAGCAGAAGCCAGTGAGTCACACTTGATTTCTGGAGCACACAAATTGCATTTAAAAGAAATAAAATATGCTTATTTAATGAGGTGCGTTTAAACACGACATCATATTAAAAGCTTCCCATGAAATATACATCATTGCCGTTTCTCACATGGAAGTAGTGTCTTCCAGGAAACCTTTTTAGAATGAGGCTCCTGGCAATGAGTCCTGAGAAGGGCTAGAGGCTGAAGCCACCACTTGCGCTGAGAGGGCACTGAGTGGGTCCCTGCAGGGTTCTGGAAGGTGCTCCCGTGTCCAAGGCTCTGGGCTGTGCTGGCTCCCCCTGGACAATTTGCCTCACTTGGTAACAATTAGGAAAGGTGAAGGCACAGACCTGGCAATTTGCTGGCTGCCTGCTGCTGCCAGGCCCCTTGGGCATCTCCCGGCCAGCTCCAAATGCCAGCCTGCCCATCTTCTCGGTTTCCCCGTGTCCTTCCCCTAGGGTCTCACAGCAAATGGTAAGCCTGATCTTCTGTTCCTGCTCGGTCCCTGGTTAGTAACGTCTACTACTTCCGATTCTCATTCAGAGCTTGGTGTTTGTAATTTTGCAAAGGGAATCTGGTGCTGTGGCTGCAGAAACAGGGTTCCACTTGGTGCAATGCCCTTGCAGGAAGCTGAACCGAGACTCCCCTTTCCTCACACCACCCACAGCTGGCCTGACAGGGGACATGTAGCATGTCTGCACTGGTCCAGCCTCCTGGCTTTTCATTACTTTCCCCGCAAAGGGCCACCCATGTTAATGTTTGTGATTCTCCCAAAGGGACCTTCACACTGACAGGCAGGTGGGCCCGCTCCCCACAAAGCCCCCTTTTTTCTGTGGATGCCATCTTGTTTGGGCAGCCGCTAGTGAAAAGGCCCTTGACTGCTCAGTGCTCAAGGACACAGCTACTGAAGTGGTCAGGGCATTGTGGTCAATAATGAAGCCAACAAGGAAGAGAAAGAAAGGAAAAAAAGAACCCAAACCCAAACAACGGGCCTGTGAGCACTCAGCAGTGAGGCCTGTTAGTGGCTGGAGGTTGTGTTCTGAGACAAAATGCTGAGGGCGAGACACTGTGTGTCAGGGAGCTTTTTCCCCCCCTCAAAGAAATCCAGTTCATTTTTTTCCTTCCATTAATTGGCAGCAGATGGAAAAAAAAAGGGGGGGGGCAAAACAAAAACCAAACCAACGCCAGTAACCTGAATGTGAGTGTTTCTGAAAGGGAAAAGCTGTTTCAATTGTTAGATGTCCAAGAAAACATGAATACACGCTGACAGAGGAAACGGTCACAATTAGAGGAAGAAGAGGGAGAGGCTCATAAAATTAAGGAAAAAAATTCCTTTTAGCAGCTCCCATCCTGTAGGCTGGCTCCTCTGCCGGCCTCCGTCCCTAAGGCAGCTGGAGGTTGGGCCTCCCTTGGAAACTTCTGGAAGATGGAGGCAGGGGAAGGAGGAAGGGCCCAGGGATCCCTTAGAAAAGCAAAGGCGGCCCTCCCTGGTGGCGCAGCGGGTTAAAGC